ACAGTGCACTCTTAATTGCCATACCCCCAAACCCATCCTTCTTCATATTACTGTGTAAGTGCCTTACACAGAATCTATTTTCTGCACCTGGGAATAGAGTTTCAAAAGCAGGGATAAGTCCCTTTTGTTTGTCAGACATAAATGTCCACTTGTGTTGTTCCTCAAAGCCAATGTCTTCATCTAACAACTGAAGGAACCACATCCAGGTTTCCTTAGTTTCACCCTCAACAATAGCATAACAAATTAGGTATATGTTATTGTTTGGATCCAACCCAACTGCAGCCAATAATTGTCCACCCCTCTGCCCTTTCAAAAAACACCCATCCACTCCTATGACAGGTCTACAAGCATTCTTGAACCCTTATTTGCAAGCTGAAAAGCAAATGTACAATCTTTGAAACCTCAAACCTTATGTGTCCTCTGTCAATTTTAAAACAACAGTGGCATTTGTGTCTGTTCTTTTGAGTTCTTCACGGTAAGATCTTATTTTTTGAAACTGTTCTTCTTCTGAACCTTGAATAGCCTTTAGTGCCTTTTGCTTTGCCCTATAGGCTTGAGATTTGGAGACACTTGCTTTCAAAGTTGTGCACACTTCATTTCTGAACTTAGTTGTGCCTAACTTAGGATTTTCTTTGAATTTTTTCATGAAAGTTTTACCAATCCAGTTGGACTTGAGGCTGCTGTTGTTGTAGTTCCAATAACAGTTGTTATGGTCAGACACATAAGTTTTGATTTGCCAAGTCTTGTCATTTTGCATTGGAGAAACATGTATTGACCATTTGCAATCATCATTCTTTCAACAGGCCCTCAGTCTTCTACTGTCATTCTTGTAAAACTTGATCATCATCCCCCTCCTAAGGCAGTGGCTCTTTATAGCAAACTTTGCTTCTTTTTTTGAAGAAAAAACCAACCCAAGCTTTAACTCAGGGTTTTTAGTGTCAGATTTAGGATTAAACTTGGGGAATTTAACCCTATGTTCATCATCAGAGCCACAGTCACTGCCCATTGAGTCACTATTAACACAGTCATCATCATCTTCTTCATTAAGCATCCTAGTATACATATCATCTGAGACAAATTCAGAGACCTTATCTTGACCCTTTGATTTAACCCCACCAAACTCAGCATCTGGATCTACATATGCTTCAAACAACTTGTCATCTTCTTCAAAGTCATAATCACTATCATAAAACTCATCACCATCTTCCTCACTGTCACTCTCATTGCTTAACTCAGGTTCAACATTGGGTAATTCAGGTAAAACATTGTCAGTTTGCTCATCAGTAATGACTGATGATGCAACTTGACTTTGCAAGGTAGGTACCACATTCACAGTTTCTTCTAACCCCAACTGTTCTAAGTATATTTCAACTTCATAGTTAATAGGTTTCATAGAAGCAACATCGGTATCAGTTTCCAAGTACCTACCCATATTCAGATTTGCCCCAAATTTGTACCAAAATTTAATTTTTTTCCTATCAGAATACCCCAACTCCCGTGACATTATCCACATATCAAGCATCCTCATCTCAGCAGGTTTTGAAAAATCAAAAAACTCCTCACTCCCACCAATGTACCTCGTTTCTGGACCATGTTTCAGTACCCCCCATAATACATTTTAACAGTACACCAAGTACTTATCCCAATTCTTTCTGAAAATGATTTTTTGCCACAAGAAAAGAAAAAAAATAAAAATAATATCAGCCACATTGTAAATGACAAGAACAGTACATTAGGGTTCAAGTTGAGTTCAAAATACCGTAATTTGGGGCAAATCCACCAGGGAATTTGCTTCTTCGCGACATGGCCTTCGAAAAATTCCTCTTTTCTTGTTCTTTCTTCTTCGATCCAGAAATTAATCGGCAGAGTATTTGGGGAATTTGAGAGAGAGAGAGAGAGAGAGAGAGAGAGCGTGGAGAGAGAGAGAGAGAGAGAGAGAGAAATGTTGATTTTGGGGAAAAAAATCCGACTTATCCCCTAATTTGAAGTCACGTGCGTGGCACATGACGGTTGACTGTTAAGTGAGACGGTCAACCAAACGGCAGGACCAAATGTGTTAAAATGTGGTAAAACGAGAGTGTATTTTGTTGACTGCGGTAAATGGGGGACCAAAACTGAAAAACGGGCAAACTTGGGGGACCAAAAATGTAATTATCCCAAATCTGTACAAAAATTATTGTGGTTTTCAATAATTATTGTACAGATTTTTATATAACTGTAAATACAGAGTGGTTTTTATGTTGACATAGTTGTTATACAGAGTGGTTTTCATGTTATATAGTTGTTATACAGAGTGGTTTTCATGTTTATATAGTTGTTTATACAGTGTGGTTTTCATGTTTATATAGAGTGGTTTTTATTTAAAAAAACTGGAAAGAAAAAAAAACCATTTTTAAAAAAAATCGAAATTAAGAAAAAAGAAAAACCATGAAAAAACGAAAAGAAAAATAAATCTATTTTTTTAAATTAAAATAAAAAACATGAAAAATATAAATAAGAAAAAAATAATTTAAAATAAAGAACCGAAAAAAAAAAATAAAAAAATAATTACAAAATTTTCTTTTGAATCGAAATAAAGAAAACTATTAAACAAAAAAAAAAGGAAAAAAAAAATTGAATTGGCGTGAGGAGGGTAATAGTTTTTGGAGAAGATTTGGGTGTAGATTATGGGTATAATTTGTTTGTAATTAAATAATTATATTAATTAATAATTAGTGGGGCATATATGATTTTTCAGGTCCATTGGATTTATCTCAAATATCATTAATAAATAAATGATTTATCAAGAATTAAAATCTCAAAGAAGGGTGTTTGGCATATAGCCCCTAAAAACAAATACAATAACACGAGAAACCCATTCCTTATCAAATATTAATAAACGATTATTGGCGTCATAATTACAAAATAAATTCCCTTTAATTAATTACATTTGTTGTATTTTAAACGGCCACAAAATAGAAGAAATTGTACTCCGTGTATATATGTCCACACTACGATACAATTCTCATAGCGAACATCTATATAACACCAGAAACATGCACTAAATTGGATTTTTATTTAGAGACGTGCTATTTCTACCCTTGAAATATTTTATTTCACCATCAAATTAAATATATTTTTATTTTACTCATTTTTTTTTTCTCTTTTACCCATATTATGTAATAAATTCATAAATTATCCACCAACAAACTAACAAGAATATTTATAAAAAAAAAACTCTACCATTTTCGAGAATAATATTTACCACATAATCTCATCCTCTCCATCTGAAGTGAATGATACCTTCGTTAGAGAAAAACAACTGAACGTAAAAATAGCAGGAATTCACGTTCTTGAAAAAAAAAAAATTAAGAGCGCTCTTGCAGATAAAAAAAACCCAGAGATTTTTTGTGGATTAAAATTTTAAAAAGAGATTACTTTTCATTCAACACAATCTGCACATAAACTGATTCAAATGATTATTAGAATCTTGTTTTACCCTTTTAGGTTTTATTGCAAAAAAAAAAAGCTTAGAATAGAAGATTAAACGAATATAAGAGGGGAGGTGGTGGATTAGAAATTTGAAGCGTATTTATGATATTTTATATAAATTTGGTGGTGAATTAAGATCAAGGTTATCAAAATCGGACCGGACCGGTCGGTCCGACCGGGAACCGGCAACTTTGTGGTCTGGGTCAACATAAAAAACCGGAAAAATCAAAACCCGGGGTCAATATGCAAAGAATTCGGTTCAACCGGAAAAACCGGTTAACGAACGGGGTTTTAGCGTAAACTGGCGGCAGGTTGCCGGATTTGGGCGAGGGATCGCCGCGGGTTGTTGGATATGGGCGGGGGATTTCTATGGGTGATCGGATCTGTGTAGTAGATGACATGATCGGAGTTGTGGATGGCTAGATCTATGGACTGAAGAAAAAAAAAAAAACAAAACCAAGAAAGGAAATGGAAGAAGAGTTGTTGCGTCAAAATGGATAAAAAATGAATAGAAACAGACTAGATGTGGAAGTATGTTCCTCTGAACATAGAGAGATGAGGTGAAAAAAAAGGAACAGTGGGCTTGTAACATACAAAGAAGAAACGAAGGGTGGGGTGGGGTCTGTCACATTAATTTTGTTTTAATTTATTCTTACACATATTTGTGGTATACTCATCAAAGTAAAATAATCAAAGGAAATAATTTCTTTTAAGAACGGAAAAAAGGATGTTCGAGAAATTACCATAATTGACAGAACATAAAAAAAAAATGAACATTACAACCATTTTTTTTCATTAAAAGAAATTACTTACTTTGGCAATCATTTATCTCACAACTATTTTTCTATAACAGTCAATCTATGGGAAGATATGCCAACAATGAAGGTGGCGAGCTCCAAAGATTCTTCATGAGAATCCTAATGACTTTCATGCTAAACTATGCGATATCTCCAACGAATCATACGCACTCGTTGAACCTTACTCTGAAAGCAAATTAGTGAGGAAAGAAATGTGTTCATTACTTGAAAGATTCGCTTACCGAATTGCTGCTGTAGAAGAAGTCAGAGACATTGACACGCTCAAATTAGACGAACTCATGGGGAAACTTCTAGCACAAGAACTCAATCATGGTGAAAATCATCGTGAAAAGCCTAGAGAAAAGAAGATAGCCTTTAAAGCAGAAACTTCATATGCAACTCCGGAAAACCCGTCAACTCAAGAAGATGAACAGACGGTTGAAGAATCCTTGGCACTTCAGTCGAAAAACTTCGGGAAATTTCTCAAAAAAATTGGTAAAAAGGGAATTCTCCCAACACAGGGAAACCCTTGAACTTTCAAAATCCTAGGAGAAACTTAAATCAAGACAACTCAGAGGATTCAAAATCGAGAAGAATACAATGCCGAGACTGCGAATGTTTTGGTCACATTCAATCAGAATGCGCAAACACCCTGAATAAAAAGAAAAGAATGTCACTTACTACTGTTTGGAGCGACGAAGAAGATTCTGATGACGATCAAGGAAACAACGATCAGGTCACCAACTTTGTAACATTCAGTAGCAAAATCCCTCTGAACAACTCAGAATCAACTGTTGCAACAATCTGTGAAACATAATCCAGGTATGAAAGTGTGCCCATCACGCCATGATGGGCAGTAGGGAACCAATTGGCAGCACCAATTGAGAACAAGACGCGATAGGTCATTGTAAGAGAGGTCGTGCGGAGTGGCCACGATCCCGATTGACCTCCAGTAAGGGTGGAGATAACAGAGACAGTTGGGGCAACAACTCCAACAGTGTGGAGATCAAACAATTCAGCTATTCGGGCAGAGTTGAACTCATAGACGCGTTTGAAGACATACACGTGTTCATAGAACGGACTCCGACAATCAGACACACCATGGGATAAATTGGCATAGAAATCATACACAGCTTGACTCTCAAAATGCTCGATGCGAGATACCGTGTCGAGAATACCAATGCGACGAAGGATATCAGTAATTCCAAAATCATCAAAAGCATGTCCCAATGGACACTCAGAGGCAAGGGCACGTTGACTTACCAGATACCACCAAGATTGATTTGAAGGGAGAAATAACCGGTGATTGAAGGCGTCGGCTGCACATATGGGGAGCACGAGATCGGGTTCAGATGAAGCAGCGGTAGACCGGGCATGAGAAGTAGAGGCACCATTAGTGGGCGGCGGAGGAGCGCGGCGGCGAGAGCGGTGGAGCGAGGCCGTAGGTGGAGGTACTTCGGAGTCCTCTTCATCAAAAAATTTGCCCTTCCCTTTATTTGTCGGTGAGGCGGAGGCAGAGAGGGGGGCGTCCTTAGACGAGGCGACGCCAGCCGACGACGATGGTGAAGCGGCGGAAGACGGTGGTGGCGGTGGCGGTGCAGAATGTGGTGGCGACGGTTGAATAGGCGGCCATGGCGGTGGTGTCTGAGAGGGTGGCAGCGGTGAAGAAGGCGGCGATGGTGGCGAGTAGGTGAACAGCGACGGCGGCGTGACAGGCGGAGACGGAGGTGGAGAAAGCCTAGAGGCCGAGATTATCATCAGATTCCCAAAATTGGAATCGGAGGCAGGTGTGAGGAAGAGCACCGCCTCAATGAATCGAAGGGGCAAGGCCATCGAAGGCTCCCGACAGAGAAATGGCGACCGAAGTGGCGAGTTGGCGGTGGATGCATCGGCGGTACGGTCGCCGGTCGAGGAGTCTTCCTCTTAGAGAAGGAAGACGATGCACCAATAAATTTTACTTTTCCCATGGAATAACTGTTTTCCCTTTTTTTTTGTATTATGTTGGATTGTGTTATGCAAAAAGAGAGAAAAAAAAAGAACAGCAGAGAAGGGAGGAGAATTCCAAAAGAGGGAAGAAGAAGAATGTGAGAGGACAGCATGGCACTGCTGATAGTGACTCGACTACGGGGCAGTTTAGCAATTAGTGAAATAGTATAAAGATGGAAATTGCATAATTTATCACACCCAATATAAGTAAAATCAATTTAATCTAATTTTGAGTCCAACACACTTTCAACCTTTGCATATGAGTCCCCACAAAGTTCAAAAACAAAGTCGAGAAGATGAAAAAAATTCTCATAAAAGTGGGTTACTACGAAGAAATTTAATGCCGCCAAAAAAAAAAGAACCCACCCCTAAACATATTTTTTTTAAGATGCCTAATATGCACTGCATCGAGTATAATGGAGGCGAAAATAAACGTTAATGATAAAACAAAAAACGTGAGTGAATAGACACAAGTGAATAGGATACTATTTGGACTATCAAACCCATGGGGTTTATCTTCAATTTTAACAGAATGCAAGCTCCAAAAGTCCAGCTAAGAAGACTAACAACAAATTTAGTAACCTCAAATCAAGAACAAGAATGCTCTTATTTGGTAGCATACACACACGTCTAATGTTATCTTTTTCCCATGAAAAATAGAGCAATTAAAAGGAACAAGATTATAGTGGTCGTGCAATGTGTAGTCCCCTGGGCTTTCTAATTGAGCCTTGTAGTGAGTGTTCGGTCAAGTGGTTTACTAGCTCGACTCAACTAGGCTTCGAACTATTCACTGACCATATATATAATTTATATTGGCCGTGCAATGTGTAGTCCCCTGGGCTTTCTAATTGAGCCTTGTAGCGAGCTTTCGGCCACGTGATTTACCGACTCGACTAAAAAAGGCTTCGAACTAATCACTGACCAAATGGTTGTAGATATATATATTAGTAGTAGTAGTTCTTCAAGAGTACCTTTCACTCACTAAAAGAGGCAGCTTTTCCCTATAAGAGTGTCCAACCATGACAAGACCGTGGAGGGAATTAAATAAGCTGAAGCCTCTTCAGCAATCATTTGGAGATTGATGAAGTTCTTCGTCACAAAATTTGAAAGTGCAAATAGTATCCAATACACATGTGTTTCTGTCACATGCAATATGCCTAATGCAGAACATAGATGAACGAAATGCAAAATGTATGATGTGTCCCTAATGCTTTAAAAGTTGCAAGTCTGGACACAGACTGTTGCAACAGTTTATGCAACTGCACAGGTCAAAGAACACAGATTCCATGCCATTTCGCAAGGAAATCAAACCTTTGTGCATCTAGGGGTTTAGTAAAAATTTCAGCAAGTTGATTTTCCGTTGTGGCATATTCTAATGAGACAGTTCCCTCCTTTACCAACTTTCTAATGAAATGATGATGGATGTCAATATGCTTAGTTCTAGAGTGCTGAACCGGATTCTTGAAAATATTAATTGCACTCATATTGTCACAATAAATATGCAATAAGTCTTGACTAATACCATAATCACATACCATTTATTTCATCCATAAGAGTTGAGCACAACAACTACCTACGGCGATATATTCTGATTCGGCAGTGGATAGTGTGATACTGTTTTGCTTTTTGCTATACCAGGATACGAGATTATTGCCGAGGTAAAAACAACCACCCGTCGTGCTTTTTCGATCATCTGCATCACCTGCCCAATCAGCATCACTAAAACCTACAAGTGATGTGTTAGTATCCATGGAATACCAAATACCGAAATCGGTTGTTCCACTTACATAGCGAATGATTCTTTTGACAACGCTTAAGTGGAATTCCTTGGGATTTGATTCATATCTGCCACAAACTCCAACACTATAGCATATATCTGGTCTGTTAGATGTAAGGTATAGTAGACTACCTATCATGCTTCGATACAGTGTGGAATCTACCGATGTTCCATCCAACTGTCGCGACAGTTTATCGTTCGTCCCCATATGAGTTCTAACAGTTTTTGCAGACTCTAACCCAAACCGTTTGACAAGGTTTTTAGCATACTTGGATTGAGTTATGATAATTCCATCACTCAATTGTTTAACTTCAAGACCTAAAAAATACGTAAGTTCTCCAACCATGCTCATTTCGAATTCGCTTGACATTTGTTTTACAAATTTTTCAATTTTTGTTTGTGATGTAGACCCAAAAACAATATCATCAACGTAAATCTGAGCAATCAGGATGTCTCCCTTTGATTTTTTTAGAGAAAAGAGTTCGATCAACGCTACCTCTAGTGTATCCTGTGTGTGCTTGAAAGTCTGTAAGACGCTCATACCAGGCTCTAGGCGCTTGTTTGAGGCCATACAAGGCTTTGTTCAGTTTGAAAACATGCGTGGGATGATGTGGATCTTGAAATCCTTTAGGTTGTTCAATATAAACTTCTTCTTTTAAAATACCATTTAAGAAAGCACTTTTGACATCCATCTGGAAGAGTTTGAATTTTAGAAAACAAGCAATAGCAAGAAGTAATCGAACTGATTCTAGTCTAGCTACAGGGGCAAAAGTTTCATCAAATTCAATGCCTTCGATTTAACGATAGCCTTGTGCAACTTAATCTAGCTTTGTTACGAACGATATTTCCATGTTCACCAGACTTATTTTTAAAAACCCATTTTGTATCTATTATATTGACGTTATCAGGCCTAGGAACCAAAACCCAAACGTCATTTTGAACGAACTGTTCCAGTTCCTCATGCATGGCTTGAATTCAATACTCATCTAACAAGGCTTCTTTAACATTTTTGGGTTCTATAGCTGAAGTGAAGCAAACATACCTTGCCATTTCCTTGCAGTCAACCTTGGGTTTACCTCTGGTTTAAATTCCTTCTTCTACCGGACCAATGACTTGATCCACCAGATGATTCTTCTTGACTCATTTATAGGGATTTTTTGAGTTTGATCATCCAATTCGAGAAGGCTGACTTCAGCTTCATCTCCAGTTTCAGATCCAGCGTCACTGTCTTCTGAGATGGTAAGAGTTGCATCAACTGTTGGAACAATTGTGGTGACACTGGAATGATTATCTGATTCCTTTGTTGGTTCCTCTTCCAGTGGACCTGCATCATTATTAAAGTCATCAAATTGAATATATGTAGATTCCATAACAGACTTTGTTCTCATATTGAATATTCTATAGGCATGGCTATTTCGAGATTAGTCTAAGAATATTCCTTGATCACTTCTAGCATCAAATTGCCCAAGTTGTTCTCTGTCATTCAGAATATAACAAATACAACCAAAAGTACGAAGATAGCTGAGTTGAGGTTTTTTACCTTTCCAAATTTCGTATAGAGTTTTAGTGGTACCAGGTCGAAGATAAACTCGATTTATAATATAACATGCAGTGTTAACTGTCTCTACCCAAAATCGAGGAGCAATCTCCTTTGCGTTCATCATGACCCTGTCCATTTCTTGTTGAGTGCGATTTTTCCATTCAACCACTCCATTTTGTTGAGATGTTTTAAGAGCAGAGAATTCATTCATGAGATATTCCAATTTTTTCACAAAAGTCAGAAAATAAAGAGTTTTCAAATTCTCTCCCATGATCGCTCCTAATTCTCTCAATGTCACGCTGTTTTTCAACACTCACCTTTTTGCATAATTTTTTAAACACATCAAAAGAATCAGATTTTTCCCTAATAAATTATACCCATGTAAATCTGGAAAAATCATCTACACACACAAATATGTATCGTTTTCCACCTATACTTCTACTTGCATTAGTCCCATAAGGTCCATGTATAGAAGTTCTAGGTTTCTACTGGTTCTAACATTAGCTAAAGTCCTGTGTGAACTTTTGATTTGTTTACCCATTTTGCAATCACCACATATTCTTCCTACTTGTTTAGCAAGTTTGGGTAGACCTCTCACATACTCACTGCTAGAATTTTTTATCATATTATCAAAGTTCATATATCCTAACCTTTTGTGCCATAACACTGTAGCTGTTGAAACAATTCACACCAGTAGATACTAGAATATAGCAGTTGTCAGATGATCTGGTTCCTTGAATAACACAATTCTCGTCTTTGTCTAAGACTCGACATGCGAATTTTTTGAATCTGACTTCAAGGTCTTGATCACATAGCTGACTGATGCTTATCAGATTTGACGTGAGTCCTTCTACGAGTAGTACATTCTTCAGCTTTGGTAGATTCTCATGATTTAGAGATCCTTTCCCTAGTACTTCACCATTTTTCCCGTTTCCAAAGGTAACAGCTCCACCGGTGATTTGTTGGTAATTTTTCAGAAACTCTTTAACACCGGTCATATGTCGTGAGCAACCACTGTCAAAATACCAATCATTAGCAGTACTTGCTTTTAAGGAAGTAATGGCAGATAAACACTTAAACGTGGACTTTTCAACCCAATTTTTTTGTTGAGGCCTATTAGAAATATCAATTTTGTTTTTGGGTTTTTGTGGGGGTGCAGGTGAGTACCCAGTCCTAGCAGAATAGAGCGAGCCACTAGTTTTTTCACAAGATTTAAGTATTTGAAGCATCTAGGGCGTATGTGACCAGGATTTTGACAGAAAAAACAAGTAGGATTACACATTTTCTTTAAATGGAGCGTCGTTGCTCCAACAGTCGTAACTGTTTGTGAGACATGAGTTTGTTTAACAAAGTTGATCTTTCTCTTTTGATATTCTTTTTGTTTTAGATCAACTTTGGGCAGCTGACTTGCTCCTATGCCTAGACGATTATAGTTTGGTTTATTTTTATTTAGAAGTTCATCTAAATTACCTCTATCCGTGTTCAATTTTGCAATTGCTTCTTGAGTTTGAGTAAGTTTAGCCTGCAAAC